AAATGTAAGGTCTGCTCATATCATTGTGGTAAAATTCAATTATCATTCCTTCAGCATCTTAAACGAAATAGAGTATACACTTCTGATATAGTAGGATTATAGACTATTCGTAGAAGTAAAATAAGAACTTTTATCTACTCAGATAGCATCAGCTGGTCTAGGACAGATAGATGCTCAAACCTATGCCAAATGGAACTAGTATTTCAGACTGTCCTAATTAGCCATTTTGGAAGTTAGGAAACGTGGTACTTGTGACTGCTGGATTGTGCGAAGAAGACGTCAATTCATCATCTTACGATACCCATGAATTTTCGTCCGTCATGTAAAGCATATCATCAGAACCAGGAACGATTATTTATGAAAATACACCAAAAACACAAACCAAGAAAGGTAGCCTGCTGAAATTCTACTCAATTCTTATACCCAACCTTGCGATCTTCATTAGGCAGACCACTTCATGCATGAAGTTGAGGTAAGTTGATACCACTCTATGAAATGTCTCCACCCACTATTTTAAAGGAAATGAAAGATATGCCCACATCAATCTTTTCAGGATTTTTTACAAACTCAGCTTCTCTTCATATACAACGTTAAATTTAATGGTATCCTGAGGCCTACTCACTTCATCTTATGCGACCTAAGAGGACTGCATTTCCTATACTAGATCATTAAAAAGGACTGTTGTGATTATTCGTATCTGTATTTCCGGGTGAAATCCTGCCGAAACGACATCACTTGCCATCTTCTTGCTATAATTGTCATCTTTGACAAATAAATAAAAAATCACAATAATGCGCTGATCTCTCATGGTCCTCCTGCAAGCCAGTCTGGGTTCTCCCTTCGTAATCATTTCATCTTCGTTGAGCAAAACGCGCCCAGCGTAGGATCTAGACCGAGAGTTTCACATGTAGCCTAAATTAAACCGAGAAGTCCTAATATTTTTTTTCTTGTTGATCTGTATTTATTATCGCAAGTATTTTTTATTCGTTTCGTGTTTAGGCTTTGTCTGGAGCGAAATGAAGCAGATCTGGGAGGAGGGCGTCAAAGCCTACATGAGGCAGTGGTGGAACTGGCTCGATTTTCTCATGCTTACGCTCTATCTGACCACAGTAGCCCTGCGACTAGTCGCCATCATACTCCGGCGCACTGGTCGCTATGGTGCAGAGAACGCTCCCAGAGACCTCTGGCCGCCGGATGATCCAACTCTGCTCAGTGAAGCACTCTTCTCAATCGCACACATCTTCAGCTTTGCCCGTATCATTTACCTCTTTCAGGTGAGCCGCGATGTTTAGCGAAGAAAATGCATGTGCATGCAGTGGTCTACAATGTGAGAATTGGGCTTTGGTATCTCCTGAAATGCTCATTTCAATGCATCTTCAACATATTCGTATGTAAGTAGGGTTTATATTTTGTACCAAACCGACTTTCGAAGGTGAATTAGCATCCCGTACTCTACGCTTTGCCTCTCTTTGGCGCTGATTTCAGCAACGTTTTGTAATGTTATTTACAGAATTAGTGGGTCAGTCGCGCGATTGAATCCCCTCCTGACACTTTACTCCCCCACCCTACCTGAATTCTGAGGATAAAAAGGGCAGATTAGCAACATCATTTTCATCAATTGTCTGGGTTGGCTTTAGTTTTGTGTCTTATTCCTGTAGGCCCTGCACTATGGCTGCCTTAAGTTTGCGTTGACAATAAGAGGGATAAATCTTTCCGTCTGATACAGTTGAGGCAAATAAGTAGAATGTTTATTTTTTAATTGGATACACAATCTTAAATGTACTCATTCGATGAGAAAAATATCATAAATATGCTTTTATCGTCTTTATGAGTGTCAAATTGAATCGTAAATCCTATACCATTGAAATATTTATTGCTTATGCCATTTTGCTTAATGATGACATTACATTTCCAATATAAATTGCACAATGCCGAAAGGTATCTGGAGAAAAACCTTCTGGTACTGCCTCCATACTTCAATTAATCTGCAGAGTAAAGGCTTGCGAAAAAAGGCCGTGTGCATGGCATGTATGTTGTACGTTTGTGATTATCATGAGTCAATCGAGATGTATTTGCACTATCGGATTCTAGGCTAATCACATCTACTCATACTCGAATTGCTGTCCTGCTCTCTCTCTTTTTCAAATTATATCCAACAGCCAGAAGTAGTCTTTATTCATTTTCCCGCACTTCTTCCTAATACTCATGAAGGTGGTTGTTTTGCTAATCTCTGTTGCCATCCTAACCTGCCGCTTAGCTCTGAAGTCTGAATATCCCGGAATATTTGTGTTTTAAACGATCCGTTTTGGTGTCCTATATTAGCATATTTAAAGAAGAACTGAATTTAGAATAATTCTATAGTGATTTGTTGTGACGTGACATATTCTTTTAAGGAAAATGTTGGTTGTAAGGAAATTTTGAATTATTCTCACCGGAAACTAAAACAGTATTGTCTTGGAGGTGGGAAGACTGTTGAATTATGCGAGTAAAGCTTGGGTCCACTGTCCAGCGTCCTGTATAAGCCAGGCCCCAATAATTCTTATTCCACGATCACAATAACCTGTGCATCTTGACATAGCATGAAGGTCCGAATATTTAGGAAATTAAGTATAATTGCGAAAGTGTTAGTCTTTCCTTAACCATGGCGGTAATGACTCATTTATTCGGTACTTCTCGTCTCTTCCTATAAAGCTGACTAGGTGGCAATTAGCTGTATTACTACTAATGAGGATTGAATTTTAAATTATTTTTCAGTAAGACGGAATAGTCATAAATAAATCCCGGTAGATAGTAGTAAAATATTCCCATTTTTATCAACACTTCCGCTTCTTTCTTTCGTTGTTTCACATATGCTATGCAAAGAAAAGCAGAGTTTCGAGGACTCCCTTTTTTCCTAATTATTAAGCTTACTCCAATTTCAAGTGGAAGTGTTTGGTGAAGATATTCGAAGGTCAATCCCACCAGAAGACTACGGTGGATTCCTCTTGACCAGCTGTCGATTGGCTTTACTGAAACATTCTTGTTAGCGCTATTTCCGATGTAATCTAGACAAAAGCTCCTTTCTAGCGTTGATTTTGTGACATTTACTTTTGTCTCGTAATAATGATTGTGAGATGGATGCAGAAGGAAATTTCCCATTTATGGGACTTCAAAAAGGGTAACCTCCAAGCTTTATTTAACTTCATAATTAATTTACTAATCCGAAAATTTGTTAAACTAAGCTTTAATAATGCTTTGGATTCTGTTTGCCATGCAACCAAACAGAAAAGTAGTCTTTCATATAGTCAATCTGTAATTTGGTAACTGAGAGCTCCTCTAGTTGAACCATGTATTTGGTTATTAAAATTAGAAGCAAACATGATTCTATAACTCATTCAATTTATCATTAGAGTTACATAACGTTACGCTGGTCACTAAATTGCTCAATCTTATGATTGGCTTCTTACCTACCTTTTTACTCGTCTTAATCAAATGTCACTTCCTGTACCATTGCTTCCGTGTTTACAGGAATATTAGTGTGCACTGACATTTACAAACGAATCGCCACATTCCATCAATTGTTCATCGACTAACTCATCGAAGTCCAGTGAATTCCATATTTAAATCGGGCAGCATTCGGAGAGCCACTTGAATTTATTTCAAAGAAATCATAATGTATTTGCATCACGCAACCCGTATAATACATAATAATCCTATACGGATCCTCTTCTCTATCATTTCTTGGCAAGTCATATGTGTGTGGTAACTTAGCATATCGCTGAAGAATGTCGTCCATTTTCCTTTATGTGGCTTTCCGGTTATTCCACACGTACAGGCAACCTTTATAGCTTATTTCTGTAGGGTCCTTAAATGTGATCCTATCTGTTTCAACATCCGCGAAGACTTGCAATTCTTTTTATAAGCCTCTTGTTTCTGTCCTTGGAATTGTTTGATTATAAACTCTTGTAATATTGTTAGCTTTGTTTTTCCTTTATGGAAAAGATTCTTGTCCCTTCATTGCAAATAGTTTGATTATCGGTCTTCAGTTAGATTAAAAGCATCGGACTGTTGGCTTGGCACATTCTCACACGCTTTGCCGGCTCTCGTACGCTTTTTCCTTTCCCGCTTCACTTTCAACTTATCATATATTCTTCCTACACCGCCTTCTACAAACACTTCTTCGCAAAATGTTCACTATCCTTACAGCTTTACCCGATTCCTTGGTCTGCACGTTAAACTGCGGACTATTCATGATCTTCAAGTTGTTTGGCTTGTGATTACCTATTTTGATGGCTTATATTTTCTGTGTACTCGACAATAAATATGATCGCATAGACCATGAACCTGCCAAGTCGTTTTGTCTCATGCTCTTCTTTTAACCAACTGTTGGTTATCCATTTATCTCAGCATAAGCACAAACTTGATTAATCATATGCAAAAAATTATGTGATAAAAAATATGAAAATCTTCCTCCAAGTGATTAGGGAAAACCTCCGGAACTTAACAATTTTTAGTCAGTACTGCTTGTGAATAGTAGGAAGTTGTTGATTGCCAAGTAGTGTAACGGGATTTTTCAGTTAATTTTAACGTTGTGTCAATCTACTTAGATATTCCAGTAGAGGGAATCTGCAGGCCTTAGAAGTGTAAATTCGCACATTATTCGCATGGGTTCACGTAGCAACAATTTAAGAAATATTAAAATCCACGATGGTTCTTAATTTTGATTTTTGCACCAATTCGAAGGATGATTTTTTCATGGAATCCTACTCAGCTCCTCTGGTCAGTCCATTTCAAGAGGCCCTCTTAATTTTTAAGCTGCTTGCTAGTTCTAAAGACGACCACTTTACGTCTTCACAACAATGCAAAGTCAATTTAAGTAACTTTCCAAGCTTACTGAGTAGGCTGGATGAAACAATTAAGTTTACTATAGACCGGAATAACAGCCTCCATTGCTTTAGTTGGAAAAGCTCTCGGTTGTGAAGAGATGTCCAGAGCCAACCCACAAATACGGAGCTCCTTTCCTCCCCCCTACTTCATCATCTCTAGATTCTTCGAGTAAAGATTGGTGCTATGGGAGCCATGACAATAAGAAGTCTGCTTCCCGTAGCTACAAATCAATGGAACTTGGAATTGAGAAGATTCTTAACATGGAATTTGTTTATGGCCCTAGCAACCAAAATGCCACATTAGCATCAATGTGACACATGCAATTACTTATCACGGTATGGAATTTTCTGCTACTTAATATTGCACAATCAAAGGAGAGCACACCAAGTTAGTGGACATTAATGGGAGTAAACGCATTTTAACTGAGACCCTCATCACTCATATAGTTTGAAAAAGGATACAAAACCAGTCACTTAATAGAATATCTCATTGATGCCACTGAGGGCTTTTAGTTGTGTAGGCTTGCGAAAAAGCGCTCCTCTTGACTGTTTCTTTCGTGCCTTTTTTCAAGAATGGTTGTTTGCTCTAAGTATGTCTATCAAATAATAGCAGGATAATCATGGCTCTATTGAGAACGGAGGAGAGAAGGTCAAGGAAAACAATGCTCCAAGTGACAAGTATAGGAGGTCCGATTTCCGTTTAGACCAACTTACGAAGCTCTTTCACTCGAATTTTCACAATAAATCGGGAAAATTAAAGCACTTTAATTATAATGGCTTCTTCTAAACTTTCTGTATGAATGTTATAACCCTGTTATACGAAGAAAAGTTGGGTTTCGAGGAATCTCTTGTTTCATAATTGTTGGGATTACTTCCATTTCGAG